TGTTTTTACTTTGTTCATTGCGGCTGTAATGACTATTGGAAAAGCAGGTTTGAGAGAGTGGTAAGTAGGTGAGATTATACTTTTAAAAAGTGATTATTGTAATCGTGCGGGAAGGCATAGGAGTATGTTGAGTTCACAGCAAGTGGCCGGAAGGAGGAGGGCGATGGTTTTTGAGTTGCAGGTCGGTGAGGAACACACAATTGGTGTGGGTGAGATGAAGAGGGGTTAGACACGAGAGACAGACGGGTGGAATGATGTGAGAATTCAGAAGAGCACTACATAGGAGTTCCAGTCGAAGGGACAAAGGGAGATGATCGGGGGACGATTAGACAAAGATATCAGAGCGGCAGACAGGGCTGAAACATACAATAAAGACACGTGCCCAAACTGACCAGTTCTAAGGAGGTAAGCAATGTTTTAGCCGGTTCGTGCTTTTATGGGAGACTGCCTGGCCATACCATGTGTTGCCTGGGAGTATCGGGATGTTGCTGATGAGGGCTGCCGTGTGACTCAGAAGATGGCAGTTCAACAATGGATTTTTGAATCCATCTGCGCAGAGCTTTGAGTGTTACCCCCTTTTTGTGCATGGGCTTTCTGCAGGTAATCTGCTTTCATATTATATGCCAAATATTCATGAGTCTTTCAAGACTCTCCTGAAAAATAGTTTATGAAATCAACGAGGCTCTTTCTGGATAAATAAAGGGCATTATTTGTTTTACTTTTAGTTATCAAAAAAGCAAACAGATATATTTGTTCGATTGATCCAACATATTTTACTGTTGAAGTTGTTGCAATGATTGGGTTGGCGGTATGGCCGAATGGAGTCGCGGTTTCCCCTCGTTTCAGAGGTTGCAGTGGAAGTCAAGCGGCCACCCTCGACGGTCCTGCGCATATATTAACCAAAAATAATATATATGCGCCGTTGGCTTAACAGCGGACGTTAAATATCCCGTGGCATTATTCTAAGACGATTAGACCATGTGTACCGGCATCATGGTTTACACAGTTACCAAATAATAATGCAAATGATCTCTCTAGGTAAAATCCACATAGTAACATTTCTCACGACCGTGAAACTCATGCAGACTACAATTGCCTGCGAACTAAACTCAAACTAAACTATTCTACATCATTAGACCTCTTTTTTCCAGTACCAAAATATGATAGGGTTTTTCCCCTCTTTTTCTCGCAACAAAACTGAAACCTTTTTGCAAGGATTCATGTCTGCATTAACCACAATACCTGCAGTCAAAATGCAAACAAAAAACATACTCTGAAAATATATTCATTGTCCTTGAAACTGATTGGTCCACACCAGGTCCACACCATTGTCCTTGAAACTGATTGGTCCACACCAAGGGACGGCTTTCTTTTGAGCCTCGACCCAATTGGTGCTCGACCAGATGACGCCTTTTGGCTCGATCAGATGATGCCTTTTGGCGTCATCTGGTCGAGCACCAATTGGGTCGAGGCTCAAAAGAAAGCCGTCCCTTGGTGTGGACCAATCAGTTTCAAGGACAATGCATATATTATCATAGTATGTTTTTTGTTTGCATTTTGACTGCAGGTATTGTGTTTAATGCAGACATGAATCCTTGTAAAAAGGTTTCAGTTTTGTTGCCAGAAAAAAAGGGGGAAAACCCTATTATTAAACTATTCTATTTTACCAGGTGAAGCCCACTCGGCTATTAATTGTTTTTCAGAGGCGGCCTGGCCAAACATGATGGCTCATGCTATCTGGAAATGTAAGGTTGCAGCCATATCATCTAAAACGCATATTGTTTCTAAATGTGTGAGGGAAAAAAAAACTGGAGGCAAATCCACGGAGAGAGAACATTCCAACTCCGGATATACAGTCATCGTCAGGGTAGGGATTGCACCCACGACCTCCTGCGTATCAGACAAGGGCGATAATACATCGCCACCTCGGTACGTCAAATGTGACCGGTAACAGTCTGAGAGGAAATTGGCAACTGTGTTGGGGTGGCAGGAATTAATTCGTACCGAGATCCGACGCGTTTATTGTGTTGAACTTTATTTGACAGCACGCTGCACAGTTTGCGATAATGGGCCAAGGTTGACTCGAGATCTACAAGAGAAATAGGTGGTATTTGAGAGCACGCTGCACAGTTTGCGAAAATGGGCCGAGGTTGACTCGAGGTCTACAGGAGAAATAGGTGGCAACCCTACGCACCCCATTCCGAGTCTTCGATCAAATTAGGGGTGGCCACGAACCATAATCGAAAGAGCCGAAGATAGAGAATAAATTAGAATAAAAAGCCAAGGAGAGTATGATAGCCAATTATGGATATCATTTAACATATGGTGTCCAATCATAGTGGTAATATAGAATGTATTTTTTTCCAATCAGTAAAACACAGACTATGATATCTTAGTGATAATGTTTAGTAAAATGTTTTAGCTCTCGGCTATAGGAAGATACCAGTAGACTACTTATAGGGCTCAAAGGGTTTGGCCACCCCTGGAAAAATTCAATGGTTGCAGCTGTGGCTTTGTAAATACGTCATGAACTTCATTGCAGCAGTTGTTCAATGGACAAACATCAACACAGATTTATTTCACGCAACTAATGAGCCTCATTTGATTTCTATTGAGAGTGGCACTGTGTGGTTAAAAATTCAAATCCCGGGGTCAGGGTTGGACTCATCTGGGGCGAATGAGTACGGTAGAACTCCTCATCTGTGGCGATGTGTGGGAGGGTTGGGGGGGACGAACATTACAGATCCTTTAATCCGCAATTTTATCCACGCATAAACTTAACGTTTCCATGAAAAAGCACAGGCTATTCTGTGCAATCGGTTTAAATGGTTGCGCTGCTCCAGTTATCTGCACCTCCGATGAGTGCGCGTTCAACGTGCGTAAATATTCGCAAAAAAAAAACGGTCACGGACAATTGGAGCAATTGATGTAATTTCACGAAGTGCATGCTAGCAACAAGTGCCTATAAAGACCCCGCAGGCAACCAAGATATACTAGGTTGGTTTTCTGGACGACTTCACTCATCTGTGAACAATTTGCAGATAACAGGAAGCCAATCCACAATATAGGGTGGGGGAGGTGGGGTAGATATTGGAAAATTAGGAAGAATGGGGGCATGGATAATCATGGTTTTCTCAGACCCCATAGGTCTTGCGGAGAATGGGGCCCCGAAAGGTCCTCCTTGCAGTTAATAGGACCGCAATCGAGCGTTGTGCTTGTGGAGAGACAACAGTGATCATCCCTGTGAGAGGCTGAGCACTGCCATGGAATTGAGGAATAGTTGTCCAGGGTCGACGGACAGCAGATGAGTGCCTGTTGACTTGAACAGTGAGACACCTTCACTTGACTTGCATTGATAAATATGCTTAACCGTCACGCGAATTTTAGTCGCTTCATCAATTGCTCCAATCATAATAGAAATGCTGATAATTATTGTGGAATACAGTTAATACATTTAATGCGTAGTACAGCTTTATTCTGCTTTGTGGTTGATGTAGTATGCCTCCCGTCCTGACATGATCTCAACTCCAGACGGAGGAGTGAGGAAGACCGGTGACTGCAGAGGCAGTGGATGCGCTAATTTGAAATTATGTCTATTAAATGTCGTCATTTTTTTTTTTACGTACGTAACGCTACCAATTGTGTTTGCTCGTTAACCACACACGACGGATCGGGCTCCGGCGGTGGAAGAGCGTCCGTTCTCCCAACTGCTCAGGTTCCCGTTGGAGGTATGCGCATATTGATCCGCACGTTCACCACACAACGGATCCTCTGCGTTTCAATTGATCAACGTACGTGCGCGTGGCCATTGATATGTGCGCGCCTTCCGAAAGAGATGTAAGCTTGCCGAATTGATGTCTACGCAGCCACAGATTTGCGCATATTCTGATACACTATATAGCAACATTGTTTATAAAATGTATATATTTTATGTATATTTATAAAATATATATCTGTTTAAAATGTACATATCTCTTTCAACGCTTGCTATGCTCCCACTTCTCCCCCCCCAAAAACATTGATATTATTAACAGTGGATGATATCGATCTAATGAGGAATAATTTATAGCCGGTTGTCAATCCACTGCTGGACGAAGCCTTCCCCATGTCGTGCGGACAATGGGGGTTGCTTAGGGTTGCCACTTGTCCTGGTTTTCCCAGTACTGCTCTCTTGTTGAGGCAGCTGTCTGGGGAAATCTTTCAAGTCTTCCTTGGCCATCACAAGTAATGTGTTTTGTCAGTTGCGTAATAATATTATTACACCGCCCAAGACAACGCATTCGCATGCAGTTCTCCCTTCTACTGGTTTCCGTGAGACATTTGTATGATGATACGTCGCATATTTTTCGACCTCGGAGACGACAACCCTAGGGTTGTTTTAACCATACTTCACCATCTTGGTTAACGTGGGTTGGTGGGGCGCAGGGGGAGACACAGGGACAAGTTCAAATATTGCTTGCCACCGATGTTAGCCCACGTGGTAACAAATGTCTCAACAGTAGCCATGATATCTTCCGACACACCGTTAAAATATAATGCGACATTTTTTTTTTGAGGGGGGGGATAGACCTCACACCTGTTTTTTTGTCCTTTAAGTTAAAAAGAGACAGAATGTAATGAATGCAGTTTGTGGCAAAAAAATGCACAGACAACCTTGAAGACCCGGGAACACATCAATTCACCTCATTCACGCCCGCGCAATGCCACACTTGGAATTCACTGACTTGCACATCAATCGCACTTGGCATACAGACGTGGTTTATACGTGTTCATGGGCAGGGGTGTGGGGTGGGGGTGGCGATTACAATTTAATACTGCGACAGTGGGCAGAGATGACTCGGTCAGACCGCTTTTCTTCCAACTCCGAAATCGATTGCCAGAATGTAAATTAGGATGAAAGAGGGGGTTGGGTGGGGGGGGGATAGACATTACAAACCAAATAGCAAGGTACACCTTACCCTGTAATCCATACAGGATAGCTTGCTCAAGTGCAACATTACCTGGAATTGATTCTGCCCTTCTTCCGACGATTATGGTGTGATCAGCCAAGACTGGACCGATGCGGTTCGTGTCGCCTTGGGTAAGCTGCAGCACAATTTACATCTCGTTTTATCCAGTTGTTGCCGTCGGAGGAGGAGGAGGCTCAAGGTGCGGAATGATTTAACCCATTTACTGCACGCAGGGTTCGGTGAGTGTCCCCAGCAAGCCGAGAGCATTAACCGCTGTCTATGTACAATACATATTTAGAAGATGAAAAACAAACGCAATAGTTATAACAATAATAATAACAGCAATTAAGTTAAAATACTGCGGCTCCTTACATGGTTTTTTTTTTCCCCAGTTCTCCTTCCGAAGTGTTATTCTTTTGTTGAACGCCGGGCAGATCTGCCTGCGTCGGTTTTATTTCTCGCTGGCGCCGCGATGTGTCGTCTGGTTGTGCCGCCCGGCGTTCACCGCGACGTCCGACGTTTCGCTCCGCGTACCGCCCGGATCTTGTTCAAGAACAGATTAGGGCAGGCAGGAAGAGGAGGAGGAGGAGCAAAGGAGGTTGGGGGTGGGTTGCAGCGGGGAGCGATTCGGCCCTCGCGCAGAAGCTGAAACGGCTCCCACGGCGCGGAGCGAAGCCGTCGATCGTCGTTGCCCACACAGTGAACGATGCGCGGGTGCGACCCGAGAACGCATCGCGAGAGCTGTCAGGCAGATCCGTTGGGACCGAGAGCACACGTGGTGGTGGTAGGGCGGTGGCATTAGGAGGAGGGCAGAAGCCTTATGAATGAACAGGCAAGGCGAGTTGCCTCTGGCGTTGCACCGCGCGTGCACTGACATAGCGCGTTTGGCATGGGTGGCATGTGGGTGAGAGTGTGCGACCGGTGAGTGGGAATTTGTAAGTTCAAATCCTGGACCGAGGGGGAGGGGGGTGATTCAACCATTTATATTTTCAGAGCTAATGGCATAATGAGTATTTATGTGACCTTTTTTGCCAATATCAATATTATGAACAAAAATAATAACAGGTTACCTTTCCTGGCAATAAAACATGTGTTAAGATGTTTGCATGTTTTGCCACAAGTACGTGTAGTAAATTCAGACTTGATGCCTTGAAAACGGTATCTATTTGGTGTTTGAACATCTTAACAACTGTTTTATTGCCAGTAAGGGTAAAGCCTATCCTTATTTTTTTAATGAGAACAAGGAGTTGTCACTTTGTGTGAGGTCCACAGTGGTTGTCCTGTACAGTTACTCGCCCCCGCCATAGCAATGTGGAATTTCCATTGCTGGCTGGATTGATGAGCGCATTCCCACTCTCTGCTTGACTTTGACTAAATGCGTCAATCAAAAAGTAAGCGGAAAAATTGTTCTGGGAGCCTAAAAGCTCTGTTTAACAGGATCGCAACCTCGTTGTGTACCTTGCTGCAGGTAACAAAAAAAAATTGAACAGGCTGAGACAACTAACAATTCTTAATTACGATTCAGCGTTTTTTTTCTTCAACCGAGGAAAGCCTCACCCTTGAGTCTCGCGACTCTTATTTTCCAGTGGATTCTGTCAAGTTTTCACAGTTGGGGAGGTGGCATCGATTCATTTACAAATATATTCCAATTGAGAAATCGAGGGCGATTTGAACCGCAAACACATTTTTGGGATAAAAACACCGCAAAGGTGGTGACACCCCTTTAGTGAGATGGCACATTCCCATTGACGTAAGAGCTGAGCTTTCCTTCAATAGCAGGATGTACCAAGATCTCAAAACGGGGGGGGGGTGGGGAGTTAAATGTGGCAAAACTTGCATTCTGCAATATTGCCCAAGTGAGCGCGCGTTCCTCTGACCCCGAGTCGCCTTTTGCGTTTTGAGCGACTCGGGGCCAGAGGATTGAACGGACCGGATTTTCAAATTTCAAATTCCCACACTGCCATCCTCACCGCGGCATTCCCGGCTCCTCGGAGCGAAATCAATCTTCCCGAAAACACGTCACCATCACCCTCATAACATTGCCGTGGCCTCAGAGAGCATCTCGGGCCGTAATTATATCAGGGATGCCGATAGGGGGACAGTGATGGATGGTCGTGTGTGTGTCGTCGTGTGCCGATATCAAAACCGCGGATGCTGCGTTGTCGTCTCGTGCGTATGGAAGGGCTGCGACGTTACGCGGCGTCGCACGCGAGCAATAACCGAAAGAATATCGCTCATCACGGGACATTATATATATCGCGTCTCCTCGCTTGCGGCAATGAAAAGTCGGCGGGGAGGTACGCAGCTCCTGCCCAAATAGCGCACCCAAGCGAATGAGTTCCGCAGCACTGCTTCAGAGGGCTGGACGCGAACAAGCTCAAAGAACAGGCAGCGAGAGGTTATTTGGGAGAGAGAGAGGGTCGGCGGGGGGGGGGAGAGCCGTCTTGCTGTCGGTAATGTCACTGCGATCTTCCCAGTAGGCTGTTTTTAGAGTTGGGGTTGCGGGGTGAGGGACCGATGGTGGGCGAGACGGTCATCGTATTTGATTCGAGCGTTACTTAACAACCTCGCGTGGTCCAGCAAAACAACAGAAACAACAACCCAGCTTCGTGGTGTCATATTTACATCCCGTATGTACATCGACGGCGCTGCGAGTTGCACACAGTCCTGCGTTGTTTACAAACGGGTGCACAAAAAATTTGCACATTTGGCGTTTTTTTGTTTTTTTTACATGCCTGCAACGGTGCTGCGTGGACTCCTGTTGGATGCTGTGAGAGCGTGTGCCGTAGTCCACTTAGCGCGTTATATCCCCACCCCACCCCTTCCAACTGCCCAGTGTGGCATGGGTTATATACGTGCGTATGTGCGTACGCGCCGAATGTATTTATGTACATGACCGAGAGTTTGTTCCGTATTTATATGCTGTACAAGTCGGTTAAGTTGGGAGGAAAAATCGAAACTGCATTACGTCGCCCGTGTCCATTCAATAGACTAAAGTGTCTGCAGTGCCGTGTGCATCAATAAAGGCACTTTTTAAAAAACACCTTGGCAAAAAAAAAATGCTATATATACACACACACAGAGAGATAAACGGATATTAATAGGGAAGAGGTCAATAGGTTAGAGGGAAAAAGAAATATCTTAATGCATGTAAGACTCAGACTAACGTTTACTTTATCATCTTATTCTAAGTTTCGCCACGTTCACTACGGTACATTGTAGCTGTGTGACGATGTCATCAGAACCTAAGAGTTTCAAAAAGCAACTGTTGTCCTTGCGGGACATCATCTTGGCGCCCGTCTCGTTCTCAAAACGTAGCGACAGCCCCCTAACGGTTTGTGTATATACACATACAAAACATCATACCGTGTACGTATATGTAGCAGTTTACATTACACCACATATGTGCCTATATATATAAGCATGTGTGTGCATATATATAATTATAATACTGATTTTTTTTTTTTGTTAAACAATCGCCATCTTCATAATATTCGTCGTAACTGTTCACCTCCATCCTCATCATCGTCATCATCAGCCCGTGCATTGGGTCCATTGTAAGGGCACCTGAACAAAAGCCGCCGCTCATTAAAGCTTGTTGTACGCGGCCTGTTTCTCGAGCACCTCCAGGTAGTCTGGCTCGCACTGCAGTCTGGCTCGCATCTCCAGATACTCCCCGCCACCTGCACCTCCGGCGACGGCAGCAGCAGCAGCAGCAGCAGCCGCCGCTGCCGTGCCGTTGGGTGAACCAAAGAGAACTGTCTCTCTGATGACTCCCTCGGGGTGCGGCTCGCACGCTTTCCTGCAGGACGCCGAGCGGTATCCGCATCCGTACGCCTGATCCCCGCCACTCAGCAGCTGCTGGTTCCCCTGCTGCTGCTGCTGCTGCTGTTGCTGGTGAAGTAGCAGCTGGTGTTGCTGCTGCTGCTGCTGATGATGATGCTGATGATGCTGCTGCTGCTGCTGCTGCAGGGTGATGGAGCCCTGCTCTGCATGCGTGCCCATGAGGCCCATCCTCGAGAAGGCGTCGGCAGCGGCGCACGTCGTCCCTGGGCCGTGCTCCGCGCCCGCGAACGAGTAGCTCATGCTGAGGATCTGCCGCTGGATGGTCTTGTCGAGGATGTCACGGAAGGCGACCGGCTCAGCCTGCACCTCCTTGTACTCGTGCTCGCTGTCGCCCTCGCGCGGGATGTAGATGGGGTTCTTGCACATGGTGCCGATCGGCTGCGGGATGTACTCGTAGAGGTGGCGCGACGCGTGGCGCTCGGGCGGACCCGGCTCCGCCTTGGGCTCGTAGAATCCGTAGTCGAGGGGGATCGCCGCCAGGTCCTGGTTGAGCGTTGTGTCGCACTGGCCCTGGGCGGCGGCCTTTCGCCGCCGCAGGATGAACACGAAGAGGCCCGCCGTGGCGAACACGGTGAGGATGAGCACGATGAGCAGGCTGAGGATGAGCACGGAGAGCGGCACGGCGCTCTTGCCCGGGATGACGCCGAAGCCCGAGTTGGCGGACGTGGTCTTGTCGAAGTCGGGCGACCACGTGTGCGATCGGTGGTCGGCCGGCGGGTCGGGGCACAGCGCCTCGAAGGGCAGCGAGCGTAGCCGCTTGGCGGCGAACCGGGCGGGCGACTCGCACGTAACCTCGCTGTGCACCACGCCACCGCTCAGGCCCTCGATCCACTGCTTGAGCGTCACGGCGTCGCAGCCGCACTCCCACGGGTTCTCCTGCAGGTCTATCTGCACGATAGCATGTAGGTGCTCCAGCACGCCGGCCACGGGCAGCCTCTCGAAGAAGTTGCTCCGCAGGTTGAGGCGGGTGATGGCCATGCCGGCGAACGCGCCGTGCGGCAGTGAGCGCAGCTCGTTGTTGTTGAGGAACAGCAGCTGGAGGCCGCTCAGCTCATTGAAGGTGCCCGCCAGGATCTCGCGGATCTCGTTGAACTCCAGGTAGAGGTACTGCAGGCTGCGCAGGCCCGCGAACATGCCCGGCGAGAGCGTCACGATGTAGTTGGTGTTCAGGTAGAGCCGCTGCAGGTTGGTGAGGTTGGCGAAGGCGCCCTCGTGGATCGAAGAGATGCGGTTGTTGCCCAGGTGCAGCAGCTCGAGACTGGCGAAGTCCTTGAAGTCGAGCTTGCGGATGGTCTTGATAAGGTTCTCGGGCAGATACAGCTTCTTGGGGAAGAGCGGTCGCGGCAGCAGCGCCTGCACGCTCAGGATGCTGCGGTTGTGGCAGTTCACCGTGAGCCCCATGTCGCCCGTGTGAAAGTTGCAGCTGCACACCACGGGGCAGCTTGTGACGACGGGCGCCTTCGCCTGGACGCCCACGATGGGGCCGAGGTTGGTGCCCCCGCGCGAAGCATTGAGGGCCTCCGACGGCAGCGGGAAGTCTTCGCCCGCACGCTCCGAGCACAGCTCGCGCCGCGGGAACTCGCCGAGGTCCTTGCCCCGCAAGCGGAACGGCGTCTCGCACATCACCTCGCCCACGAGCACCGAGTGCGACAGGTGGTCGAGCCATGCCCTGAGGGCATCCAGCTCGCACGTGCAGTTCCACAAGTTCTCCTCCAGCTGGATCTCGGCGACGCGGTCCAGGTGCTCCAGCAGGCCCCGGTGGGGCAGCGTCTTGAGGCGGTTGCCGCGCAGGTCCAGGTGGCGCAGCGTCACATTCCGGAAGATGTCGCCGGGCAGGTGGTGGAGCAGGTTGTCGTTGAGTATGAGAACGCGCAGCTTGGTCAGCCCCCAGAAGGCGGCCGCCTCGATGTGCCGCAGGAGGTTGTAGTCAGCCTGCAGGTACTCCAGATTGTCGAGGCCCAGGAACGTGTCGTTGCGGAATACCTCCAGCTTGTTGCTGAACAGGTAGAGGCGGCGCAGGTCCTGCAGGCCCAGCATGGCACCGGCCTGTATCTCGAGCAGGCCGTTGTTGGCCACGTTGAGCGAGACCGCTGCTCCGTAGTCGACGAAGTCGTTGAGGTAGAGGGCGCCGATGGAGTTGCCGTTGAGGAACAGCTTGTAGGGCCGCGGCGGCACGACGGCGGGCGGCGCACGCAGCTGGGACATGTCCGAGAAGCCGCGGTTGTCGCAGTACACCTGCAGAACGTTGTCCTTCTCCTCGCACCCGCACATGACGGGGCACGGGTCTGGCCCCCCGGCTCCCCCCGTGCCGTAGGCGGCCGCTTGCCGGAGCTCGGTGGGCTCGGCGGCGCGGAGGGCGATCGCGAGCAGGAGAGCTGGCAGCAGCAGCGGCACCAGCGGCAGCGGAGGAGGCGGCGGCGGTCGCCGTCGCAGCGGAGCCATGAACGTCCCCATTTACGCGCCCGCTCGCTCTCTCAGGGCGGAGGCGAGGGGGGTGGGGGGGACGTGGCGTCCGAGGTGCCCTCCAAAGCAGGGCGGAGGTGGGTCGGTGGCACCGGTGGGGGGGGGAGCGGGCTCCGTGCGGAGGACGGAGGCCACCTGCGAGGGAGGCGAAATGTCAGCGGCGTTGTCACGCGGTCGCCAAGCTTCAGGCAGACTCGGCAAGCACAAGTGGATATGTACGTCTGTGCAGGGAGTTTCTGGGATCATCGGATTTCTCCGGGATTCATAAAGATTCTGATTCTCGCGTCATGAGAAGCATCTTGTTACTCAACATAACAACTGTCGACGTTGCTCTGCGGGTCAAGATTTGCTGATGTTATGCAAGAACAACAATAATAATAATAACATAGTTTGTATATCTAAGAAGAGGAGGAATCTGCATTGGAATCGTTGGGCAATTTCATCAATGAGTGCTTAGCATATTGGAGAGATTGGCAGCGATTGCATATGAATAGTACAGTATGCACACGAGGGAGCATCACTCACTCTGCACAGGTGGATTTCAAGAACCCACGTGTCATACTGCCATCTCCTAGCTACCTCGGAGCCCAACTGGGTTTCGCAGCTTCACAAACTTCTTCACCGCCTCCTCCAAACGTGCTCTAGTGCAGTTGTGCACCACCGCATTGCTTCCATCTCGAACTAATATGGTATATGTCTTTCATCAGTTAATTTATTAGGGTCCCCCCACCTCCACCCCTCATTTAAGCATTTATCATTATCTGCTATTCATGTATAAATAAAAAAAAACGGCGAATGCGCCAACTCCCTTCAACTGTCTCAGTGTTTTGCAAGGCACCGTACACTGCAAACTCTGTCGTTCTACCCTCCCTCCGCTCTGACGAATGACCATTGCTTGAAGCGCTTTATACATTATATTTACCGTGTGAATTACGAGGTGGTGGGTGAGCTTTTGTACAGTCCACACAGTCGCTTATTGCTTTATTTAAAGATGGATTGGTGCAGGCCTGCAATAGCTTGCTCACATAACTGCTGGCCGAAGTGGCTCAATTAGAGGGCGCTCTGGACAGCCGCTCTAGAGGGTATTTGGCCTACTGTTCCATGCTGGATAGATATCAGCACCCACTATAAGACCATGGCAGCATACATTTAAAGATGGATTGACTTTCTGCGTATTAAAACTAAACAAAACATGAAACCAGTTTATACTTTACCAGGTAAGGCCCACTGAGTTATATAGCTATTTTTCAGAAGCAACCTGTCCACAAATGATAGCTCACATAAACACATGCCGATTATAAATGTGGAGGGGAAAACCTGAGGAATCTGAGAAAAATCCACGTGACCACGGGGAGAAAGGCATGCAAACTCCTGTGACGAGATGTTCACGAGCAGATCAGGAAGATACAGCGAACCCATTCTTGCCACTCAAACCCCGAATCCTCCACTTTTCCCAAGAGGAGGACCCATGTTTGTGGTATATTTATTTAAAAAAAATCTGAAATGGCTACATCGTCCCAACCACCAGTCGTCCGCCTGCCATCTGGCGTAATTTACCGGCCGCGGGGGCAATAAGCGGCGAGCAAAGCGAGCGGGCGAGCGATCGCGGAAGCAAGGGGCCTGGGGCGAAAGTACACACGCATGCGACATTCGACCCGAAATGCCACGCAAAATGCCGCACGAGATGTCTGGGACCCAGCAGTCGTCCAAGCCAGCACGAAACGCTCGCTTGTCCTCCGCCAGCTTGTGCCAAGATTGCCATCGGCTGGAAGTGATACCACTTAAATCGCTCGGCACGTGCGGCGAAGATGGGGCGGGGGGGGGGAAGGTGCGTTGTAGTAGTTTCACAAAAGTGATTTAGCCGGCCCATGTTATATCACTGCCGCAGAAATTATTGGTCTTGGCGAGCCATATTCCTTGTGCGCATATGCGTAGATTATTTACAGGTACTTCAGTTTCCTCCCATACGCCCACCACTCGTTATTGGATATGTCTAACCGTGAGCGTGTAGAACACTCGGGAAATAGAAGTCTGACTCCAAAGGATTCCCCAGATAAATCAAAGTGCATCCATATTAATGCTGTTAGTTCGAATGCGTACGCGAATGTAAAGGCAGGGCAATTATGTTCGGGCGCCACGCCGCCAGGGTCACGACACTGGACTGGCTTGCGAGCCCTGGAGGTGTGTGCCATTTGGAACACCGTGTGCACTCACACTCATTATGTTACAATGCTGATTAGCGACCCAAATTATGCGATGTTTCTCACAGTATTACATCATTGTGATGGGACGACCTTTACTTTTTTTTTACTTACTTACTTACCAGGTAAGGCCCAATGAGCGTTGTGGCTGTTTTTCAGCAGCGACCTGGCCACACAGGATAGCTCAACGGAGTGGCTTACCAAGTAGAAATGTATCGCAGCCAAATTAAAAAAAACGGATTTTGCTTCTCAATGTGGAAGGAAAACCAGAAGGACTCGGAACAAAATTCCATAATGACCACGGGGAGAACATGCAAACTCCAAATATACAGCAGGTGTCAGGGTCGGGATCGAACCCACGACCCCCTGTATACCAGGTGAGGTAGCTAACATCTCGCCAATGTAGTGACCTCACCAGGGCTGCAGACCAGGCCACATCATCCTCATCATCATCTTCGTGCGCTCGATACTGGATAAACGTACAGGACACGAGGAAAAGAATCTTGTTTTGACTATCTTTGTTTTTGAACGCAACTCCCATATCAAATGCAGAACACTGTAATTCAGCAGGAAGATCTGACCCACACTAAGATACTAAGCATTGGTGACTACTATTTACTTAAGGATTTAGGAAACCGATCAGTCAATCGCCCAGCTTTGATGGAGTCACGTTGTGTTCAATGCATGGTCAATACACCTACTGACCACAACAAGGACAAATATCGCCCATATTGCCTCTAATAGACTGTAGGGGCAGGTGCTGTTAGCGTGCACCTCTTGAGGCCAGCACGGTACACGTGGGGGTGGGTGGCCAGCACCACACCCGAGCACCTTTGTTTCCACAGTAGCGATGCTTACACACCGCATCATGTACTCACTTAAGGCTGAGTCGACTGAGGGGAGGTCCAAGACCGGTTCAGAAAATCGTCACTAGTGTTGGCCGTGAGCGGGAATTGAACTCTGGTCGCTGGGTTCATAGCGCAGTGCACAAACTGTTCCACTACCCCTCCCACAACACACACACATAGCTAAGAGTAATACCACCAACCAATCCAATTCAGTGGGATCAGATGATTGGGTGGATACAAAAAAAAACCTGCACCGATTGGATTCAATTTCCATGCCAGGAGATTGAATCGAACCAGTGACCTCTGGATTGCAAGTCCATTGCGCTAACCATTACATCATAGCAGAATCCCATCCACACACACACACGGACAAAAAAAACCTTCTGGTTTTACGCGTGTATCATATGGTACTGTGTTGTGGCCACCCACATTGTTTGTCCCTGTAACATCGAAATATATTCCCGCTCACGGCCAACACTATTTTGGGGAGCAGAAAATAAATAGGAGCCTGTGGACGTGGAATTCTTCATGGGTGCGTATGAGGTGGGGGTGGGGTGATGGGGGGGTGGGGTGATGAGGGTGGGGTGATGGGGGGGGGTGATGAGGGAGGGGTGATGCGGGGGGATGGGGATCCGTACGAACCTGGGAGCAACCGAGTTTGATTCTCGCTCACAGCGAACAACGATGACAATAATCTGAACCGGTCCTGGGACTACCCCTAGGTCGACTCAGCCTCAAATGAGTACCTGGTGCGGTGTGTAGCAAACATCGCGATTGGGGAGACAAAGGCGGTCGGGCGTGGTGCTGGCCACCCACCCCCTCGGGAACCACGGTGGTGAGATGTTAACTAACTTGCCAGGTATACAGGAGGTTGTGGGTCCGGGGCCAATCCTGATGCCTGTATGTTTACAGTTTGCATGTCTCTAGGGCCGTCCATAAATGACGTCACGCGATTTTTGACGATTTATGACCCCCCCCCCCTTCGTCAGACGGCGTCACAAAAAGTCAGACCCCCCCTCAAATATGACGTCAAAAAGCTCTGCTCCCCCCCCCCCCCAAAAAAAAAACATGCCTGAAATCGCTTCAAACTATTGTCATTGAAGTGCGTATTTAATGTGGCGCTGCACTCTGATGTTGATGTGACGTCACATTTCTCACCCCCCCCATCGTCACACATCGTCACAAATGTCTGAACCCCCCCCAGGTGCGTGACGTCATTTACGGACGGCCCCTATCTCCCTGTGGTCGCGTGGATTTTTATCTGGGTTTCCCCGGTTTTTCCCTCCACATTCAGATTCAACGTGCGTTCAGAGTATTTGCCTGCCATAAATTTCCACATGATGATAAGCCACTACGTTGAGCTATCATTTGTGGCCATTTCGCTTCTGAAAATGAAGGCCGGCTCATTGGGCCGGTCTTCATAGGTGCCAGCTAACAGCACCTGCCCCAACAGTCTGTTGAGGCTATACGGGGCATCTTTGTCCTGTATTTAGCGGGGGGGGGGGGGGTATACGGACGGTGGTGCTACGGGGCGATGTTGCACCAGACGATGCACAGACAGCGCCGTCACGGCTATCGACACAAGGCCAGAATTCCCCGAGATGCCTGCTCCGCTCGCTAGCCGCGTCTCCGCATTCACTTACCCAGCCAATTTAAGGAGAGCAAATACCGTCACCTTTAATATCTCTCCTAATGAGCAGCTTTGTTTGCTCTATTGGGTTTTTGTTGTTGCTGCTGCTGCTGCTGTTGCGTGAAAAGA